AAGAAAGAAAGAAAGAAAGAAAGAAAGAAAGAAAGAAAGAAAGAAAGGGAAAGGAAAAAAAGAAAGAAAGAAATGGCTGTCACCAGATGTCCAGACAGAGGAATTTCTAAACTAAGTAACTGGAGTTACTTCTGAAAACCAATGTACTTTCTAACAGTACATTATAGGGAAAAAGCAACTGTGGTAATTTGAATAAGTAAGTGAACAGACAGAAGGGGGGGAAAAGATAGTTGAACCAGTGTAAAGGTTTAACCTAGATTTACAGGCTGACCAAGAAAACTCAGGGCATCAGTCTAACAACTGACGCTGGTATCAGTGTGGGAACTGGAACTATGCCATTTCTTCATGTATGTGCAATTTGAAAGGGAATGGGCCTCAGGCTCTTGCAAAATTCTTACAAGGTTGTTTGACTTAAAGAAAATGTTGGTGTGGTAGTGCACAGCTATAATCCCAGAACTCAGAAAGCTAAGGTAGAAGGACCATGTGTCTGAGACCATTCTAGGCTACACAGTGAGACCCTTTTTAAAATAAACAAAACCACACACACCCAAAACAAAAAATCACTACTGTTCTGTTGTCATCGTCCTATTTGAGGAAAGGTGTGGTTTGAAGCTCATGATTTTCATAGTCACAGTCAAGTAATGTATCTGGGTCTATACTTAGATCCACCCCAGTCCTGAATCTTGAGTATTTCTAACCCAACATCTGGCTATTTTTTTTTTTACACAAACTGGAGTACCTTGGGAAGAGGGACCCTGAACTGGGGATTTGCCTCTATCAGCATGACCTGTGGCCAGGTCTGTGGAACACTGTCTTGATTACTGATTGATATAAGAGGGCCTGGCCTAGCATGAGTCATGCCGGGCCTGGGAAGGTGGTCCTGGCTGGTATAAAGAAGCACAGTAAGCAAGTCAGAGGAAGCAAGACAGCTTCCTCTGAGGACTCTCTGTCCTCTGCTTTAGTTCCTGTTTCTAGGTTCCTGCTTGAGTTCCTGCCCTAGCTTCCCTGGAGGAAGCTAAATAAATAAAGCCTCTCCTCTCCAAGTTAGTTTTTGTTAGTGTTTTATCATAGCGCTAGAAAACAAACATACCCAAGAAGCTGAATAACACATATTCCCATGAGTCAAATCCAAATCCTTTCAACCAACTGTCAACTGTGAACACATGTGTTTAAAAGTAAGACAGGGTTTCATATGTCCAAGGTTGGCCTCTATTTTGCTATGTAGCCAAGGATGATCTTGAACTTCTGATACTCCTGCCTCTACCTCCTTAGCACTGGGTTTACAGACACGTACTACCACACCTAGTTTATTTAGTGTGGCAATTCAAGGCAAGTATTCTTTCTTTACTTTCTTAAACTTTTTGCAGAGATTTAAGACATGATATAGATCTCATCTACTCTTCACCCAGCTTTCCACCTTTAAAACTAGAACAGTATCACAGCTAGGATATCAACACTCAAACAGTCCAGAAAGAGAATGCTCCCATCAAGAGGATCCCTTTCCTATCACCTTCACCCCTTCCTTGGCCCCTGGCATCCCCTTCCCCATTCTTCTCCGTGTTTTAAGAATGTTATACAAGAGGACTCACACTGACACAGGCAGGCACAGGACCTCAAGTAGCTTGGGACCTTTATTGGATTTTGGGTTATGCACATCCCCACCATACAACAGCATACTCAGCACCCCAAATCCTTCACCTGCACAAAATATGCACATGCAGCCCTCTTCAAGCAATACACCTGGCAACCCCAGAACTCAACTCCCCACCTGCACTGGTTTACTCCTGCTCCTATATCGCAATACTATGCATTTCCCTGCCCCTGGTAACAATGACATTTACAGTTTCTACTCAAGCATGTCCCCTATGTATACGGGTAAGAAGAACAGAAGGGTCAATTCAGCCTGAAGTGGGATTGGATGTATGCAGAATAAGGTAAAAAATTTTAGGGAGAATGCCCTATTTACTGTCTTATGCCTATGTATAATTGGACACACAAATGATTAAAATGCATTGTGGGAGGTGGAGTAGGAAATATGAATATGTGATCAAATCTATCAATCAAAATAAAGAACCACCTTATTCCCCTTAATAACCAGCTCTTCCTTCCCTCAACCCCAAAGAAAGACCCCCAACTACAGCCAAGGCCCCTGAGTGTCTTCACTCATGTGGCCTGCTGTCAGTCTTGACAGTGTATCACTCTCTAATCAGTACTATCGCTTTGTCCAGGCACTAACTACGACTGCACCTAGCATGTAACAGATACTGGAAGAAACATGTGACTAGTTACTAGTCTTCAACTGCACTAGTGACCAACTGCAGTGTCCTCGCCCTCTTGGTTGTGGGACAAACTTCTTTTCAGTTTCCAAAACCTTCCTTAGCAATTAGCCCAATGTTGCAGACACAGGATAGATGGTAAGTCCTTCTGGTCTTCCAGGGCACACATCCAGGTGATAATCATTTCCATCTCTGCTGCAGCTAATATGCTATGAGTTACAGTCAATGGAATGTAGACGAATTGCATATTTGCCACTTTCAAGACTGGCCCATAAAACAGAAGCCAAAATTCAGGTCCTACTTGGCAGGGCTGGGGCAACCACACTGTTATCTGTAACTGTCTGATTCCCATCCTTCCAGAGATCCATATAGCCCAAGCTATAAATGAGATCAAAACAATGCTAAGTAAGGCAGACGTAGAAAGTTAGACATGACTCCCTCTGTAGGCTGCATCAGCCTACTTTTGTTAGTACAATGAAATATGCATGGCAGGCTACTTAGTAAAAAGAAAAGAAGGAAAAACAGGGTTATTTTGGCTCACAGTTCTGGAGGCACAAGGTAAAGGGGTGTCTATCACATAGTGGTCTTCTGCTGGCAGAGTCACAAGGTAGCATGGGGTCATCAGATGGCAAGGGTAGGAGAATGGCATGTTATCTGACTGCGCTCTCTCTTAAAAATCCACCAGTATTGAGTCTACTCTAACGACCTTACCTAATCCTAATCACTTTCCAAAGGCACCTATCTCTAAACACTATAGTTAGATTAGATTTGAGTGTAAGGCTCTTTTGCGTTTGTTTTTCCTTTTTCTTTTTGGTTTCTCTGTGTGACCTTGGCTGTCCTGGACTCGCTTTGTAGAGCAGGCTTGCCTCGATCTCACAGTGATCCGCCTGCCTCTGCCTCCCTGAGTGCTGGGACTAAAGGTGTGCAGCACTGTGTCTGGCTAATTTTTAATAGCACATTATGAAACAATGGGCTTTGTTATGACACTATCATACACATAAATCATATATACTAGTAATAGCTACCAACATTCTTCTTTTACAGCTGACTACAGTCCCATGAGGCATATATCCATTTTCTTTATTTATCTGTTGGTGGGCAACTAGGCTGACTCTGTATTTTGGCTGCTATGCAGTCTAACAATAAACACGGCTGTTAAGTATCTCTTTGGTGTGCTCGCTTAAGATACGCTTAGGTACACACGTTCATGCTGATTTGTACTGTGGCTGCACCTGTTTACATTCCCATCCGCAGTGTGTGCAGGATCCTCTCTTCTCACATCCTCATCAGTATTCCTTGCAATTTGTCCTCTAGGGCAGTCATTCTGACTGTGATAAACTGGATTCTCAAAGCAGTTTCAATTTGCATTTCCTTAATGGCTAAATATACTTCACATTTTTCTCATATATTTATTGCCACTTGTATGTTTGTTTTGTTTTGTTTGGTTGGTTGTTTTTCAAGACAAGGTTTCTTTGTGTAACCCTGGCTGTCCCGGAACTTGCTTGGTAGACCAGGCTGGCCTGGAACTCACAGAGATCCAACTGTCTCTGCTTCCCAGGCACTGGGATTAAAGGTATGTGCCAACACAGCTGGCTGCCACTTGTTTTGTTTGTTTGTTTGTTTGTTTCCATTGGGGGGCTTGTTATGCAACTCATCTATCCATTTATTGGTTGTTTCATTTATTTAATTTTCTTAGTTCTTTATAGATGCTAGGTATCAATTCCATGAGATGTATACTTTTCATTTTCTCTCATTCTGGGGTATCTTCCTCACTTCTGAATATTCCCTTCACTGTGTTTTAAATGGCACACACTCCTCATTATCAACTCCTATGCTTAGGAGTCCTTTTCAGTAAGTCCTTGGCTATGCCTGCACCTTATGCTGCTCTCCTTTAACACTTTTAGAGTTTCAGGTCTCTGATGCATTTTTAATTGGTTTTGTTCAGAGAAAAGAGGGTATGGCTTTATTTTTCTACATATGGTATCCAGTTTCCCCAGTTCCACTAACTAAGGACAATACCATCCCTCCGGTGTGTTTCTGGCACTGCTATTGAAGATTAGGGAGCTGCTGTGCTTGTTTTTCTCTGGGTCCTCTGTTCTAGCTATTAGTCTACATGTTTGATTTTGTTACTATGGTTCCTTACTAAAACTTGAGATAAGGTATTGTGATATCTCCAGCCTTGTTCTTTCTCCATTACTGATTTGGCTATTTAGGGTCTTTTATGCTTCTACATCAATTCTAAGATCATTTTCCTCAAGGATGTATCAAAACTTTGAATTATGTAGAAGCTGTAGATCACTTCTGATAATATTGCCATCTTTTATGCATGTTGGTG